GCGATTGATCAGGGATCGAAACCATTAAAGAACGCAAACGTATAAAGTACGTGATAATGCTCGCTAGTATTTTTTTCTTGAATATTAGTTTCTTCATTGCTTTTCATCCATTTTCTCACTTGTCATTAATTTTTCTCACTTACAAATTCAACAGTATTTACCGGGTTTACCGTATAATTTAAATTTCGACTCGGGCAAAGGTCACGTTACACTTACGCGAACAAAGAGTAGCTCACGTAAGACGAAATTCCTTTGACTTTAAGAACACTGCGCTTGGAATATTTTCCTTTTGGTTTTACATAAATCCTCTTGAGTTCGACCATATATAAGAGTAAAATCCTTTAGAATTCAGAAGATTTCGTTAAGAGTGAGATATTTTTTTTTGGGGTGCACCAAAAACGCGCGCGCAGAGGCTCGAGTCAGCAAAAGAGGTCGCGATCATTGATATTCATCCAGCTGCGGGGTTAAATGATCCGAAAGGTTGGCGAGGACGGGGCGCGAGAAACTGCAGTCATCAGCGAATTGGCACAGTTTAATGTCCGAAAGATGAATCCTGATGCGCTCGCGCGCGTACTCGCCCCTCTGCCACCTCCATCGCCCCCGCGTGCGAATTCGCCGATGACTTATACGTTTGACGCGTGTGCCAAAGAAAACAAACCCGCGCGGCGCGCTGCATTACGGCAATGAAATAATGCCGATGGCTCAAGTATGTGTGAAAACGGCGCAGAGAAGATTGATCGAGCGCGCACAGTGTTTCCCGACCATCACACCAGCACCTACACACGAGGTAGCACACACGCGCGCAAGACTTGGCACACATACGCGCGCGCCGCCTCCGCAACCGGCAATAAGCTCTTTGTGATCTCGCTGACTGCTATATGAGTTACCAGCGAACGGAATTTTGTTATTGTCACTACGCTCTATGCACAGAGCCGATCCAAATCCGTCCGACCGAGCAGCGACCTGTTCCACTGGCACACACTCTCTGTTCCGTTCTGCAGTCGACAGAAAAAAAAACCAGGGAGAAGAGCGAGAGGATGAATAAACAAAGGGAAATACAATCCCGAGGCTTGATTCACTCTGTCACGAGTGCACCGCGCTCTCTCCGTGTTCCTTTTTCATTAACTTCACCAATTTACCTTGCTTCTCCGTTTCTTTCTTTTTTTCGCACGGTTTTTGCATTACCCTCGCCCCCCCCCCCCTTCCATTCACTGTTCTCGCTCCTTTTTTCTACGCACCGCGAGTGCACACGAAATAGCGGCTTCAACGCGTGTGGATTTCGGTGAACCTAATCTCATCGTCGAACGTTTTAATCTTCATCGCTCTATAACGTGTGTTGGGGATTCAAGGGAGAAGCTACGAAAGATTAGTACTTTGGATCATTATATGTACATAGAGAAGCAATATTGCTTGAATTAATACGACAATTAACAAAACTAAATGCGTTTTGATTGAAGGTAATAGGATTTTTGGTTCATATGGATCCAATTTGGCACTTACACGGATAGACAAGTGCGCGTAAATTTCGCAGCTACTTTAGTAGTCGATATATAAAAGTTGCATTTTTTATGAGTAGTTTATGGTACTTTATCACACGTGAAATAACAAAAAATGCAAATACAAAAGAAATGTGCGAAAAATATTATCGAAATTTAAACAATCTGTCATACAAACAAACAATATGTCATGCAAAATCTAATGTGAAAATTTCAGTGTAATTTCTAATGAACTTGGCGTATCGATATAACAGAACATTTCAATCATTATATGATGTAAATTTCATAATTAATTCAATACACAATATATTTGTTTTATAAATATAATTAAAAAAAATTGCGGAGTTTCACTATTATCGATTGTCTTGTCATGAAAAACTTTCCAAGTAAGAAGCATAAATTCTGTTTTTTCAACCAAAACAGAATTTCTGTTTCTTATGAAACAAAATTAATTCTCAAGAACTAGAAATTCTGTTTTCTGTTTCAGTTACGGAGAATTTCAGTTAAAGAGAAGTTGAATTTCTTATTTTTATGAGCTAAAATCGATTCTTAAAAACCAGAAATTTTCTATCCCCTTCAACTGAAACAAAAAATAAAGTTTTTGTTCTTTTGTACTAAATGCGGTTTTTAAAAACCAGAAATTTTATTTTTTCCAAAACTGGAAATAGGAGGAGATAGAATTTTTAGTGTTTATGAACTAAATTCGGTTCTTAGAATCAGAACTTCTGTTTTTTTCAACCAAAATAAAGAACGAAATTTCTGATTCTTTTGAGTCAAATTCGGTTCTTAAGAAATTTTGTTCTTTCTACCTGAAATAGAAAACAGAATTTTTAGTTCATATGAACCAAATTCAATTTTTAGAAGCAAAACTTCTTCAAGCAAAACAAATGACAAAATTTCTGATTATTCTGAAACAAATTCGGTTCCTAAGAACCAGAAATTCTGTTCCTTTCGACTGAAACAGAAGACAAAATTTTTGGTTCTTATAAACCAAGTTCGGTTCTTAGAAACAGGATTTCTGTTTTTTAAACCAAAACAGAATTTCTGATTCTTGTGAATCAAATTTGGTTCTTAGACCCAAAGTTGGTTTATAAGAACCAAAAATTCTGTTTTCTATTTCTGTTAAACAGAATTTCTGATTCTTAGGAACCGAATTTGGCTCAAAAGAACTAGAATTTTTTATTCTGTTTTGGTTGAGAAAAACAGAAGTTCTAAGAATCGAAACGAGAAATTCTTCAAATAAAACCGAAAACAGAATTTTGATTCTCACGAGTCAAATTCGATTCTTAAGAACCTAATTTGGTTTTTGACAACCAGAAATTTTGTTCTTTCTACTTGAAACAAAAAGCAGAATTCTTGATTCTTATGAGTTAAATACGCTTATGAGTTAAATACGTTTGTTTTAGAATTAGAAAGTGCACTTTTGCCAACTCAAATGCGTTTAGTTATGTCATTGTCACGTTAATGCGACCAGTATGTTTTTCTTCGTGTTCCCTCGCGAATGAGTCCTTTGTCTTATTGATCACACAGTGGTGACTGTGTGCGCGCTCGAGCATGTCCTCCCGGCGATTACCATCGAGGACGAAACCGACTTTTCGCGTTGGAGAAGCGATTTACCGTTCAGCTGATCCCGCGACTGCTCCGAAAAGAGTACGAAGACCCGATTTTTCTACTACATCGCCGGGGAGTTTATCGGGTCACCGCTCGGGGTGGCCATTAAGGACTTTTTCCTTGGCCGATCGCCGGAAGACAGCAGATGACCCTCTCCTGGAAACGGTCCACCCTCGTCTCCATTCACAAGCGCGCGCGTAGCAGCCACGTAGCGCCGTTATCGGTGAGTGGGAGCAGAGGGGTTGCGCGGAGAGCGGTATGTGCCGGCGTGGAAGGTTCGTTCGGTATTTCCCCCCTAACCTCCACCTGTGCCACCCAGCACGGCCGAGCGACCCTTGGCGCTCACGGCTCCCACCCAATTGGGGATTCGATCGACGTCGAAACTTCCAGCCGTGACCACGCAACCCCGTGGCGGCGCTTCTGTCGGGACACCCCGTAAACACGACGAGAAGCTGTTGGCGTAGAAGGGACAGACGGAGAGAGGCCGAGAAAAAGACAGAGGAGCAGGAAGAGCGAGAGAGAAGCCGGGAGATGTGTGTATATCGTCGCGATCCCACCTCCGCGCGAGCCTCGCCGCCGTCGCGGAGATCCTCTGACCTGCGCGAGGAGAACCACTGCGCGAGAACGCAGCGGCAGGATCCCGACGTAGGCACACGAACGCGTTTCCATGTGAGAATTGCGCTCGCGTTCTCGTGCCGATGATCTACACGCAGGAGAACTCGCGTTGGTGTTGCTGGACGACTGTATCGGCGGGGATGAGCGCCCGCTGGTAATGCTGGCGCGAGTGTGTGAGGATTCGCGGCGCGGACGTTTCTACGTTTGTGAAGGTGTCGCGGCAGTCGCCGTTGGTAGTGGTAGTACCAGTACCCAAGAGCTAGTAGTAGTAGTATCAGTAATACACCGTAGGCGGACCACGCCGATCGAGTACACGGTGGTCCATGATTTTGCAGGAGGTTGCAGTAGCGCCGGTGTTATCTCTGTATGTATTCATAATACATCAACGTTCCGCGTGACGTCGATATCGGACTTCCTGTATGATATTGGCGAGAGAGACACCGAATGCGCTTGATAACGCGCAACAGCATTCTCGAGCAGGGATGATTTCCAACTGATATTCGCGCCAAGATAATACGCCTGATGCTGCGCACCAGTCACATAACGTGATCGCTTTTTTCATGATGATCCCGTAGCCTTACAAAGAAGCTCCTTATGCTAGGACAAGTCGCCTGACGTATCCACAACCACGCTCGCGGCGTAATCGCTAACAACGCCGGGGGAAGCTTTTGGCTCATGCTGGTAACGCCAAAAGTTTCGCCTTTGCGCAAACGCACCTCGCTTTCATTCTCTCCTTCTGCCTCTGATCACTCTTTCTTTCTCTATCCTTGTTTCTCTCAGTATTCGTCGCGCATACACCTTCTCGCGCCGGTGTAAGGACGTCCGCGACACTCGTAGGGAAGGATCTTCCTACACAGAGAAACGCAGCCACACCACCCTCACGCGTCCTCCGCCCTCGCCACGCTCGCGCCGAGGCGTCCGTCGGCGTTGGAGTCGCTGATGGCGAACGGGAAGGGAGATGATGGTCGTGTGAGCGCGTTGGTGGAGGTGGATGACGGTGGCGGCAGCGACGGCGACGGCGGCAGCGGCGGCGGCGGCGGTGGTGGTGGTGGTGGCAGTGGTGGTGGTGGTGGTGGTGGTAGCGGCGACGGCGGTGGTGGTGGCAGCGACGGAAGGTAGTTTCTGGGCGGTGGAGGGCGCGGATCGTCGTCCGCAAAGTCGTGCGTTCACCCCGTGCGCCGCGACGACGACAACAGGGCGTCGTTCGTTCTCTGGAGCGAGCGAGCGTGTCCGCCGGGGGTTTCGCCTCCCGCGGAAACTTCCCCTGGAACGGCATACCCGCGTACCGATCCACGCGCGGCCCGAGCCTGCTGCGGGCAAGCGCCGGGGTCCCTGCGGGACTGAATTGCGCCGCGTCTCCAGGCGACCCTCCGTGGCCGGCGAGCCTCGCGGCGATCTACGTTCGCGATCAGCGGCACGTTTCGCCGTGCACCACGTGGTTCCACCGTCGGACGTGGCGATCCTATCGCTCGCGACGCCGCACATCTGGTGTAGATCGCGTGTTACACGCCGAGCAAGGGTCGGTTCGTGGCCCGCGTGGCCCGTGTTGTTGCCCGAAAGAGTTCGCGAGAATCCGTTCAATTATGAAAACGGACGGAAGACGCCGCGATTGAGGCTCTTGTGTCTCGTCTCGCACAGGCCTGCGACCTATCTTTGAGCTTTGGGTATCTAGTAGGCGTCTTCTTCCGGAGGAAACTCGATCAAAGCTCGCGGCGCGTTCGTCCGGCTCGAGAGGAATTCACGCTCCAGCTGGACAGAAGCGTGGATTAGTTCCTCGCATGTGACACTGCCAAGATATCCTTCATCATAGAGAGACCCGCGTCACGTGGCCTAAGAGAGAAACGATTCGTGAAGCGAACGCGCTGCCTGAAGACGACTCGCGGAAAAGACTCACGCGGATGTAACGTGGCTGCCGAGCCGACGCCGAATGCGACTGATCAACGAGTGTGGATGCTGAAAGTCTGGCGAAAGTGTCCGGAGGATACGAGCGAGAGCTCGCCGAGTGTTCTCGAGGCGGAAGTAGTGTGTCATCTCGCGGTGGATGATCGCTCGAGTGAGAATCGCGGAAGAATCGCCTTGTGATGAAGTGAAAGATCCAGTCGGTTGTGTGAGGTGGCAGCGAATGAGCGCAGTGTTGTTAGTGAAACGAATCCGGATCCGCCGTCCTAATCGTTGAAGCCGGTCGATCTGCACGGATCGCCCGCACGTCCTACCTGTTTTGGATTACCCTGTACAAACACGAAACGTCGTGGATTCGCGCCCTTCGTCGCTACGGCGAGCACGTGAATCGCCCCTTAAAGCGGGGATCGATCGGGCCACTTGCGTACGAAACGTGGACTGGTAAGTTCCACGAAGGAAGGGAGACTTGGCGGTCGTGGACACTCGTCGGCAAGACGATTTTACAGGACGGTTCTTACCGATCCCGGGATGTTTCGCTGACGTCCCTGTCGCGACAAAAAGGAGAGTAATGCGCGCCGGGGAGTTCCCTCACGCGAAGAAAGCGAGTTGTTGACTCACGTTATCGCGTAGGGTTACGACGTCTGTGAAATTTTCTTTGAGTTCCGCGAGCACGGCTGACACAGTCGAGCACAGTTTCTTCGGACTTGCCCCTGAAGAGGGTCGAGTCCTTTCTCCGATTGACGGGGTCGATTGTTTCTTGGCGGACGCTTGACAGGTCGGTTAGGTGTAGCTCGCGAAGGGACTTTATAAGGATCCAAACAAGAAAAGAGCTCGCACTGGTGTCGTCGTGGTGACGGCGCGCGAGTACGTATGCATGCCGACGTATCGTCAATCCACGTCAATTGCTCGATAAAGAGGCAGGTGTATTGTTCACCGTTCATCACCGGTCGGTCGGTCGGTCGTTATTAATGATTGCCACTCCGTGATATTGTTAGCTGTTATGTATCGGGCGGCTCGATTAAACCTGATGACGGCGTTATTTATAAGACATTTCGATATTTTTCAACGCTGCGCGATCGATAGGCACACGCATTAGGTAATATCGTGGTTAAATCAAATTTACGAAACGAAAGGGAAGGAATGTGATGAGAATTTCGATCAGATATTCATCGCTGGGACGCTGATTATGTTAACACATACCTTCTCGCTCGCGGGATGGTTTTCACGTTTAATTTCTGTCACACGTACAGACTGAATCGCGGAGCATAGATATTCCTGCCATGTATAAAGGGGTCTGGTTATTTAACCGTTTCGATATTGTGCGAGCTGACTGAATATTCCTTTCGAGTAAAAATGACTCTTGAAAATTGCTTCCGACCGTTTGACTCGGCTCGCGATTTCTTTCGGAATTTGAGGAACGTTCCGCGAGTTATGCGGAGGGAAAGAAGAGGTTTCCTTGGGTCAAAGAAAAAAAGAAGACTTCGCGTGTGGTGGGAACATAATTTGGACAAATCCGTATTGTTTTAATTGGACCTGAACAATTAGTTACTCAAATCAAATAGATATCTTTGAACATACTTAAAAAATTGTCATATATAGAATTGGCTGTAAAAGCTACATCTCTGACATTTAGAAAAGTAAATGTGCAGCGCGCGACTGATAGAAAAAGATCGACGAGAAAGTAGAATTTGGGAGAGCAATTTCGATAGTTTTATTTCCGACATTTGTATAATTTTTTCTTTATAGCTTTTTCGATTGGGTATTTAATTTTCGATGGTGGTTATTCGCTCCCAGAGAAATAAATTGCTGGATATAGCTAAAAAAATATCCGCGAAATTCACATACATGCTCATAGATGTACATACTCTACATCTCCATAATACTCAGTAAAAGAAACGCACCACATGTAATTGGTGCGGGAAAATTGATGAAGAAGCAGAATTTAGAAGAGCTTTCGAAAATATTTTACCTCTGGAAATCGTACAGTTTCTCTAATAGAGTGTTTAATTTTTATACACGACCGACAGTAGTTATACCTAAATATATAAATTATTGGATATAATTAAAGAATTTTCACGAAATTGACTATATATGCTACATCTCTAATATTAAAAGTAGCTCGTGACTGATATGAGAAAATTTACGAAAGAGCAGAATTTAAAAGAATTATCTCGAAATTTTTGCCTCTGAAAATTGCGTGACTTCTCTAATTGTTTATTTAATTTCTACATGTAATCGACAGTGATTATATCCGGGAAAAATAAATCACTAAATGTAATCAAGGAATTCTCTCGAAATTGACTACAAAAATGCCAAGTCTCTAATATTTATAAAAATAAGCACACGTGATTGACATAAGAAGATTCATGAAGAAACAGTATATAAAAATAGTATATAAAAGCAGTATATATAAAAAAATTTATCTCGAAATTTTGCCTCTGCAAATCGTATGGATTTTCTGAGTGTTTAATTTTTATATATAACCGACGGTGATCATGTATCCAAGAGAAATATAAATCACTAAATATAAAATTGCGCAATTTACTATAAATGCTATGTCTTTAATATTTATGAAAAAATAACCATACAACACGTGACTGACATAAAAATTCATGAAGGAACAGAATATAAAAGAGCTCGAAATGTTTATTTCTGGAAATCGCATGGTTTCTCTAAATGTGTTTAATTTTTACACATAATCGATGGTATAATTACATCCGGAAAAAATAAGTCGCTAAATATGATTAAAGTACTTCCAATCGATTCAAAATCGATTGTAAATGTTACATCTCATTTAGAAACAAAAACACAGCATGTGACTGATATGAGAAGATTTACGAAAGAGTAGAATTTAAAAGAGTCGAAATTTTCACCTCTGAAAATGTTTGCCTCTGGAAATCGCATAGCTTCTCTAATCGTGTATTTAACTTCTATGTACAGCCGACGGTGATTATGTTCAAAAGAAATATAAATCGCTAAACATAATTATGAAATTTCCGCGAAATTTATTCTAAATGCTATGTCCCTAATATTTATAAAAAATAACCACACAACACACACGTGACTGTGTGTGATATAAACTGATTGACGACAGGGCAGAATTTACAAGAACTGTCTCGAAATGTTTGCCTCTGGAAATCGCATAGCTTCACTAATCGAGAGATTAATTTTTACACGTAACCGACGGTGGTTATCCGTTTCAAGGAGAACGATCGAATTACCATCGCAAAGGAGTTGTGACGGTCACTATCAGAGAGAGTTTTCTACTAATTCGCGGCGGAGCACACGACGACGACGGTGCTCTCACACGCGATGCTTGAACACGATTTCGGGCGTCGAGCCTCGCGTGTCTCGAGCGAGGGTGAGAAAGCTCTTGTTTACGCGAGCACGAAACCACCTCCACAAGCATTGACGCGTTCAATTAACCACCCGCCAGGATTAGAACCTGCGAGCGATATCGACTTACAAAGTTTCTTCTGCTCGATCGATATAAGAACGTAGGCGTGCACGTTCTCGGCGAGAGTAAATCACGTAAATCAGTCCGAGGCAGCGATATATCGCCGCTCGCGCGGGCCGTAAATAATGGAAAACAGGTGGTCCTACGACAGGACGAGGCGTCGCGTCAAAGTATACGAGGTTTTCCGGGATGTAAGGAGGAAAGTTACGCGCGCTCATAGTCCCGCCCACTCGAATACTTTTCTCTAGTTGCCCGAAATTATTCGGCGCATCGCGGATATGTCGCCCAGGATTATCACCGTGAAAGCTGTCGCGCGGCTGGGACGCGAATTTCAATGAGACGTATATATGTATATACGCACGTATATACGGGGTGCCTGATGCAATGCTCGTGTATATAATATACACAGATAGAATTCATCAAATTGAGCGAAGAAGTTCTGCATCATTTTGCAAACAACCACGATACACTGATGAGGCATTAATTCAAGAAAATTGGAAAGGGCAAATAAATGTCTGTGACACAGTGAGACGAGTTCTGTTGCGAAGTCTCATCCAAGATAACTGGATCTGCTGACAATCTTGTGACAACAACGGGCAATGCGTAATGCCGGATAATGAAGACACTCAAACAGACTCATGATTGTCATGACGTGAGACAGTAGACGGCGAGACGATGACGTGAGATTGCACTGAATTAATCATTAAATTATATAATAACGTATTTGTTTGGTTATATTGACGCAAGATTTGTATCAGATTGTTACATTTTGCATGACATATTGTTTTGAGAACATCTTGATCATTTTTTCCGTTTCTTCATCATTCTTCATCATTTATATCTTGATCATTTTTTTGCATATCTTTTTCGTAATTCTATGTAACAAATATGAAATGCTATATGAAACATTTATAGGAGACGCAAGGCTTACAAATCAACTTGAAACTGTCGTAAGGATTAAAAATTGACTCGAAATTTACTGTCAAAATTTACGCACACCTGTCTATCTGGGTGTGCATTCCAGATTGCAAGAGATGCTAAGAGATTGCCAAGACCCAAATAGAAAGGTGTACGTAAATTTGGCAGCAACTTTACAAGTCGATCTTTAAAGGTTGCATCCTTTATAGGTGGTTCACATGACACTGATATTTACCGCATGAAATGATAAAGTAGAAATACGAAAGAAATAGGAAAAAAATTATGAAAATTTGTTCTAAACAATCCATCATGTCAAATGTAATATAAAATCTGAGTGCAATTCTTAATAAGTTTGTTGCTGCATCAATATAATAAAAAGATTTACGTTATTATAATATATGACGTAAATTTAATGATTAATTCAATATAGTATATTTGGCTCATAAATATAATTTAAGAAATTGTAAAATTTCTATCATCGATTATTTCACGCCGTGATCATCGTGGAAGTCTGTCTGAGGAGATTGTCATTAGATATAGGCATTTTGGACTTTGAAAAGCTCGTCCTGTCGCATCACACACACACACACACACTTATTTATTAAATTTTTGTCATTAATATCTTAGAAATTATTGTAATTGTTCGCAAAATATTTTAGAATTTTTTTGTTTAGCCTGACGAGTTCTACCTGCACATGAGCGAATTGGACACCCTGTATATGTAGAAATGTACGTACGTATGAAGCTTCCGTCGGGCTTTTAACGAAAGTATCGAAAAAGCGTTGACCGCGACTGATATCTGATGTGGACGAGTAGGATCGACCGCCACTTTATTCGATCGAGTGTGTATTGGCACGCGTGTATGTGTGTACCTGTATCTATCCAAGTGTCGATACTTGAATACATACTAATCATTTGCGGTCGACTAGACCGTCATGGCTGCGTTAAAGTTGATGTTTTATTATTTATACCCGTGACCTGCGCTGATATCTCTTACAAAACAATAGCTGACCCTCATTGCGATTAGCATTGTGTAACAAAGTGGTAACAGAATGACAAGTGATGT